GAAATCTTCTGACTTGTGTGACCATACTGACTTTGCATCACTTCTAGTACCCAGAAGCAGTAGTGTATCTCACTTCCTTAATGGCATGAATCACTTATACGTCCAGCAATCGAACGGCTACCGTCCTGCTAAACAACACACGACCAACATATTACATTACGGATGAACGACGATCTGAACAGCGTTCGATTCTCAGCACGACTGGTCTCATACCAGTTTGACGTAACGCTAGAGAACGGACGAACACACAACGACGATCGCATAGCATTTACACATAGATTAATTAAAATCCTGCAAAAGAGGCATATAGGTACGGTCTATAAAAAGAAAGGGAGACAAGATAGGAGGATACATGAAGCATGGTAATACGTGCAATCCGTCGCGAACTGCGCATGGCGCGTACACTAATTGATGGCTGGCTTTTCTTTTCTTACACTCGTGTGTATCCTATCCTCGCTAGTAAGCACACGAGAGGTCAGCACGGCTAGCTACGAGGGTAGTATATTTCGATGCGGGAGTTGATACATGCCCTTCGTTGTGACGTCTGGTGTGCCTTCAGAGGCACACAGAGCGAGCGGACGCGTCCGAGGTAAGCCTGTTGCTACATACCATTATTGGCTTGTTTCACGTTGGTTTTCACGCCATAACTTTAGAACGCCGTAGTTTTACGAAATCGCCTTTTTAAAAATCAACCCAGTGTAGCACTGAACGTATCATATCGCGATTTGTGACCTGATTTTTCGCACGCGCGAGGGTTAACGAACAGATTCGACACACCCCATCACACAATCCTATATTGTTGCCTGGTGTGCTACTCTTATAGGGGTTTAAAGGGGGGTAAAAGCTTCAAAACGTGCCCCTGTCGTTTTTAGTAAACTTACTACTTTTATACTGCCTTTAATCAAACTCCACTTGTCCACTCTATAACAGTTTTGGTTACTAAGTAGCATGACTTTTTTTTGTATTATAAGTTCTGAGTATTGTATACAAGTGGAAAAATCATTTCTTCAAAATGAAAGGGGGATATAGGGATGGCTTGAAGCACCAAAAAGGAAGAAAACAAGGGGTCATTACACAGCAAAGATGCACAAAGCTACATGACACCATCCCTATATCTTTGTCTTGAAGGTAAGCTGTTGCAGAGTGGAAATGACGGAGACGTCAAGCGCGGCTGGACGACCTCTTTCCCAATTAGGGAGAAAAATGTCAGTATGGCGAGATTGGTTGTGAACAATAATACAAAGATATAGGGATGGTGTCATGTAGCTTTGTGCATCTTTGCTGTGTAATGACCCCTTGTTTCTTCCTTTTTGGTGCTTCAAGCCATCCCTATATCCCCCTTTCATTTTGAAGAAATGATTTTTCCACTTGTTTCCACTATTTTTCACGCCTTATGACAACACTGCATTTTCAGTCACTCTTATGTTCATGGGTGTTGTAGAGATAACTGTTGAAAGCAGAAGCTAATGGGCTGCTCCTACCTGAAGCAGCGTGTATGCGTAGTGTCTCCAACAAGGATGCAATTAGGGTGTGGCACATATATGGTGGGGTGCTTTCATAGGCAGGCTTCAGTAATCAGACTACAATGATAGCTATAACCTGGGGGGACAAAGAATGAAGGCGCTGTGCAAGGACCGCGTATAGCTAACACGGCGCACACTGCGAAGTTGCTCCTCGTGCAAATCAACAGCAAACGCAAGATAGCCAGTTAAACATGTGTATACTGACTTACAGAAGGCACTGGAGGATAAGAATTCCTCTGCAGGCTTCCTGGCTTGCTTAGTGTGGTTCACGCACGCTATAGTAATGCGCGCGCACCGCGCATTTTGGGGAAACGCCCTCCTCGGCGCGGCGCATGCGGCTCACTGATGCTGAGTTAGCAGCAAATGGCGTTGTTCAGTGACTATTGTGGAAGAGCTCAATGATCTACCGTAGTGACTTGCGGCAAGAAACAAGCGATCGCTTGATATGCGTGCACACCTCCGGAAAATTTGGAGACGTTCTGTGAAAAAATCAACGCTTCAACTGCTTCCGGTAAGGAGCTAGCGGGTCTGAAGAAGAAGAAGATGATGAAGAATATTATTATGATGATGACACGAAAATCGCGAAATCGCGTAAGAGCGAATTCTCTGGTGGTAAGAAGTCTTGGGGCATATGTATAGCTAGGTATTGGCCTCTAGACTATTGCTAGTGATTTTGAAGCCATGGTGAGTCATTCTCGCTGAGTTTTGAGGCGTTTTGTACGCCGATCACGTGAGATTTCACTCGCGTCATCCCTATATAGAGCGTCTACCGACGCTCTGATTGTAATGTGAATGTTTAATACTTCACCTAGGCAACAATATAGGGATTGTGTGATGGGGCTGGGGGTATAGTCCCTGCAAGAGAGAGTTGGCTGGTAGACAAAACCTGGCAAAGGGACGGACATGCCAATGTGGTAAATAGTTGGCACATGACCATGGGTAATAGATTACCTTCTTGAGGGAACGCTGCTTTGTGCTGATTCCCTGTGTGGTGGATCAGCAACAGGATGACACAACACCCATGATAACAAAGTGATGTACGCATGTCTCAATGTTTTAACAGTTTTGTATATACACTGTCTGAATGGTGTGATATGCCTTATAAAAAGGTTAGAGATAAGCGGGATGTTACTCACAGTTTGTGCGCGCCCCTTTATTGTGGGTAGCATATTATCAATGTGCCAATGCAGCACCTTGAAATGCTGACCAGTGCTTACTGATGGGTTTGAAACAGCTCTTCAACAATCCAGCAACTACGTGGGCTAAGTAACACTGCTTAGCATTTTCAACCTGGCAGCACCAGAGGGCACGTGGCTCGGAACAAAAGTGCAAATCCGTGTATGGAGAACTTGACGGGGACAAGACGGAGAAACTTGACCAGTTTGGACAGCCATATTTCACAACCAATGAAAAGCACTTGAAAGTGCATAACCCTCGCCGCTGTTGAAGGAGGTTCAATAGTTGGCTGTCTCAGAGAAGAATTTCATCTCTTTGAATATTTTGTTAAATTATCTGTGTGATTATGTGTTGTAAAACCTGATAAATAGTCATCCATGCATATGACTTGCAACACCTGTGCTGTGTTGGAAAGACTCAGGAATAATTATATATCCCTTTAGTGTGTAAATTTACAACATTTTGTTTACCGAAAGTTTCAGTCATGCACAAAATGTTGTAAATTTACACACTTTTATAATAAATTATTATAGAAACGTCAAGAAAATTTGTGAACTTTGACCCTGTAAGCGGGCGGCATGGCCACCCACGCATCCGTCGGCGGCACTTGGATGTGGCGGTCGGATTGCTTTCATCTACCCTTTCAGTACTCAAAAAAATAAAGCGACAAGGTCTGGATTGAGTGAGATATGTCATAAATGTCAGAGCAGGCTGAAAGGCAGGCACAGAGGCTGTACTGTACGTAGGTCGTCTCACAGAGAAAGATCGCCACAGCGCGCGTGCGCGGGATGAAAGGGGTGTGTCGATTTGGGCAGAAATACGCATGCGTGCGTGCAGGAGAGTTGCGCGTGAGACTGCGTCAGAGTAGAGTGGACTGGACTGGCCACTAATCGTCATTTCCGCCCGAATAAGGGGGATATCCTCGCACGCAATTATCTATTAGCAATCGAAAATCTCCCTGTGCCTGGAGACGCCGCGAAGAAGGACCTGGGGATATCACCGTAGAAAGAACTTCAACGTAAGTCAGTGGTACAAGACAGAAGTAGTATATACAGTGTGTGTAAAATAAACACGCGATGTATATACAATAGTACTGTCAATGGAGTCGTTAGCCTGGGTCGTATATACTCTTTCGGCCGCGGAACTGATCTGACCAGTGGCACGAACGACACAAGGAATGCAATTGAACGTGACGTCACATCTGGAGTCTCGTTCGGGGTCCAGCGATGTCTACAGAGAAAATGGAACCGTCCGTACTTACGCAGATCGGCGCACACGTAGCTTTTACGGTATGCTCTATTTCTTTTGCGATATTACAGTAACCGTAGTATGTTTGAGAAAAAACGGACGCTCTAGCTAGTTCCTGCGCGGACATCTGGGCTCAGAAAGGATAGTTGAATATCATGACTGGGAATCGATGTGTTCTGTGTGGCTCGAACGGAGACTCCGGATGTGACGTAACGTTCAATTATCTCGCATACTTTTGCGTTCGCTGGTGGTGAATTCCGCAAATCAAGTCAGATCAAGTAACATAAACTAACTTCGTGCTTGCCTATTGATGCACGTTAGTTCTTTTGCTGCAGGTAGGGGTCGAAGCCGTTTCCGCATGGCTAGTTGGCTACTACTAGTAATTTCAAGCGCAATGCTTGCCTCGCCGTACGCCAAAGCCCAAGATGCTCCGGGACAGAACACTTCAACCCCCATTACTCAGCCGACGATAGTGCCAGAGAAATGCCAGCCCGTTACGGACGTTCGGATATGTGAGGACATGCCCTGGAACTATACTCTTTTTCCTAACTTTCGGGGCCACACCAGCCAGACGGAAGCCAACCAAGAATTAGAACAGTTTCGCCAGCTCATTGAAGTCAATTGCTCAGGGGCCATTGTACTTTTCCTCTGTTCCATTTACGCTCCTTTTTGCACTGATGAACATCCCGTCCGAGTTCCCCGTCCGTGTAAGCGTCTCTGTCTGCATGTACGTGACAGATGTGAGCCAGTATTCAATCAGCGGGCAAGTGGTCTTCCCTGGCCAGACCACCTCAACTGTGACAACTATGAAGACAATGACCAGTGTTTTGGGCCGCCGCAGGAACAACTAAATGAGGTCACAATTCCCCCAAACCTGGTGTCCCCTGGTGACACCCCCAGTCCCACAACGGCGATATTGCTGGAAGTAGACTACCCGCAGACTGGCAACTACAGCTATGTTACCTTGACCTGCAAGAGGAGTTCTCTGGACGGCCTTAATTTCAACCAAAGACCAGCCACGTTCTGGCGAGGAACATCACGAATCACCACTGGATCTCAACTGGTGGCGGAGACAGAGGTTAGCATCTCGTTCGTCTTCAACCAGACCAAGAGGGAAGTTTCAGCTGCAGGACCGCTCTCGACGAAGTCTCTAATGTGGAAAAACTTGCAGGTAGAGTAGTTATACAGTATTGGCAGTACTAGTTATAGTGTGTGTGACTGAGAATTTTACTGCTTGCACTCTATTCTCGCAGCCTCACCACCAGCCACCTACAATACACCAATGATGCCCCACTACATCCTATTCCCGTCACTCGAGAGCATGCGGAAAGTCAACCTTTCCTGTGCCATTCAACCTGAAGCTCTAAAAGAGAACTATCGAGTATCGTGGCGTAGAGTAAAACCTACTCCTACTTCTTACAGTGACAATACATTCAATATAACAGTGACTGAAATGACAGAGATGTCATCAATTCCTTCTGAGTACCGGTGTATTGTTAGCATCGATCATAGCAGCACCATACAAGATGAGGACTACAACCCACCTATAGTTGTTGTTCATAAGAGAGGTGAGAATGCAGTAGTTCTGTCCTTTCTCTGCATTATCATACTCCCACTTTCTCTACAGTATTGTCCACCCTGAGTGGTGAGATTGGAGATGTATCAGTAGCTACTGGAGAACCGGCTACCTTTGTCTGCAACGCTCTAAAACAAGACACATCCTTTTCAATCAGTTGGAAGGTTGACAGTGAGACGTTCACTTGTGGTGCAAGCTCGGAAAACATTCCATGCTACATGAATAATGAAACTTCCAGTGTGCTCCAAATAGAAAACACCACAGCTTTGGGTGTTAGGAGCCACGTCGTTGAGTGTATTCTGCAGAACGTCGTTCCGGAAGAGTTTCGGGGAGATTGTGTCTTGCTCCCTCGGGGCTCTTGTGATGTCACAAAAAGTGCCACTCTGGAGATTAGCAACGGTCCTACTCCTCCAACTGTTACTAGCAGTGAGTCACATCGAAACAACACACACACACTGCGCTACAACTTCGCTGTGCTTGTGGTACAGGCAACGCGGTAGCGGTGTTCTGATTTGCACAGTTTTTAGACAAAGTAAGAGTTTTGTTGGTGTGTGGCAACCTAGAAAAAGGAGGGGAGGGACAACTGTTCATGGGCACGTAGAATAGTGATGTGCTGATTTGTGCTGTTTGTGGACAATGAAATAGTGACCTAAGCATGTGGTAACCTTTTATTTGAAATCTAGAAGGAAGGAAGTAAAGGGAAAGTGTCCATAGGCGCCCTGTATGTACGTAGGGGGAATTAGTGTATTGTGCTGTTGGTGAAGCGAGTTAAAATGGTTTGAGTTCTGTGTGGCCATTGTTAGGACCCAGAGAAAGGAAGGCATGCTGGACTATTGTTTGCCAAGGACTCCACACAACTGTGTGCTTCAAAGAGTAGTCGATTACCTATTACTTATTACTCCATTCTAATCCTGAGGCCTTTCGTTAACATGTTCACAACGTTTACCCAATAGACTAACGTTACCGTGGTGACCGGTGGTTGTCATGACAATGATGTGTCTCCTAACCCTAAAAATAACAACGGTTCAATTCTGTGCCCCTGTAAACGGTCTCTGATTTACAGTAGAGTGTTGGTGTGCAGTATATACATGTGTGTATATCACACACTAGCAAGATTTTGCAGTCTGTAAAATTCGTAAATGCCGTGTTTTGGCGAGCTGTGGATTACTTGTAGCTGCATGCATCAGGCAGTGCTTTAATTTTTTGCTAAAGCCCACAGCAGATGTTTTCTGTTAACATTCAATTTGTTCCTAGACCTCTTGCTACCACTCTAGGTCGTGCACACACACACACGCACACGCTCTCTACCTTCCTCCTCCAATGTCCTCTGAAGGAAATGTCCTGTGTGTCCTCCGAAGGACAGTGTCCTCTCTTGTCATCCATTATGATGTCCTCCAATGTCCTCTAATATCCTCCAATAATTGTGGGTGATGGCTCCACTGCACCTATCAGTGTAGAGATGGTCCCACTGATGTGTACACTACTCAGTGTACCAGTACTGGAGTGTGGGACCCTAGCCCTGACTGCAGATCAAAGGAAACGGGTTCTAAAACAGTCTGCAACTGACCCAGGTCAACGTTTTGTTTTCCCCTGCGGTAGTTGCCAAATAATGAAAAGCACTAAAGTGCAAACCCTCGGCGAACTGCGCATGCGCGATGCTGCTAATTTGCGTGGTCTCTTCCGCTAGTATATAGCCCCCGGAGAGTCAGACACGGGCTAGCTACAGTAGTAGATAGCATGACATGCCATTGGTTGTGACTTCCTGAGCCCCCAAGGTACACAGAGCGGGCGGATCAGGTCGCGGTAAGCCCAGTGCGATTATGCATATTGGCTTTTTCGCTTGTTTTCACGGCATGCAGTCGTTTCAGGAAAATCGCCTAATAAATTTTCAGGTTCGCGTAGTTCTGAAGCCGTTGGTATCGCTCATTAGCCACCTCGTGGCCTGTAGTGCCAGAATAAGCGTCGACAGACAGACACTGAGACAGACAGAAAGACTACCGTAACCCTCGCTGCGCCGCCGAGGGTTAACTACTATTGTGTAGAGATGGTCCCACCGCAACTGTCTCTTACAAACATGTTTATGTGCCTCACACAGGACAAACGTCTACTCTTCAACCATATAAGGTTGGAGTAATAATTCTCTCTCTCATTGTCTTGGTTCAAACTGGTCTGCTAGTGGGAGCACTTGTGAAAATAGTTCTTCTTACAAAGAAAGGTGAGACATTTACCAACAATATCCAAACTATGTCATTATTCCACCACAGGATCAGAGAAGAAGACAAGAGAAGAGAGGTTGGAGATGGATGTCAATGTGGCTTCTCCTAAAGAGATCATGGCACTCAGAACCAGCAAAGACAGTGATTAGATCTACAATGGATATCATAAACAGAAACGAAGTTAGCGTTTAGGTGACGCCCCAATGGTTCAATCGTTATTATTGCATACACCAGAAAAGGCAGCACATAAAGAAAATAAAAAGGACAGAGATAAATGGTAAAACAAAGCTAGGAACCACGACTGTTTTGGGATAGAAGTAATTGGTGAACTTGATTAGCAACCAGTAAAAATGTGTCTTTGTTGACGCTGATGTTAGCTGTCCTCTTCCCTTAGTTGTAGATGGATTTCTAGTAGATGTGGGAGCAGGTGGGTAGGTATTGGTTTCCCATTCACAGACTGGGCACACCGAGATGTTGCCTATATACTTTGGGCCAGGTTATCACTTGTCACCAGATTGCAACCCGTAAACGCGTTGGGAGTCCCTGAACCCCCTCAGCAATGCGATGCATCCCATCACTTTATAACCACTGACTTCATTTGCACGAACAACGTCTCCAGGGCTTGCATTACTTTAATAATACCAGCATCAAGAGACGACACGTAGGACACCATACTAACGGAGTCAACTCACTCCTGTTGTAGATCATACAAACATGGGTAAGTTGTCTCATGACTCGTGAAGTAGCTGTGAAAGCATGCACTCTGGGGTGGTGAAAATGGCATCAGTGCAGGAAACATGCTTGCGCTACCCGATATTCAGATAATCGAATACTGGAAGTACCTGCCTAGTATGAGCGTCTCCAGTATAACCCTCGGCGCGCATGCGCAGCGAGGGTTACGGGTTTGTCTGTGTGTGCGCGCGTACGTAGCGGTTGGGTATTACTACTAATAGCCCAGCCCATCAATTAGTGGTATCGCTCATGCGCAGTTCGCCGAGGGTTGGCAGCAGCTAGCTAGCTAGCTCAGCACAGGTGTCACAGAAATTTAACCATTTGCGCATGCGCAAATATTGCGCTAAGCGGCAGTAATGCTTCTCCTCGTCCGTGTCCAAGGATTATTGGTCGTCTGTGTCTGGTGGGGCTGTGGTAAGGCAATGTATAGTCATGATGATGGATTAAAAGGTTGGTGTTTCTATCCAGTGAGGTGTGAGGTCTTCCCAGCTCGGACCAGAGAATTGCACTGCAACTGTAGCAATACTGTCAAATACTGTCACTGTCTATGATACCACGTTCCTGATAGGCAACTCACCAGTCAGTGAGGGATCAGTGGTGAATGGTACACTAGTAGTGTCTGTGTCTTCAGTAAACCCACTAATGTACGATGTAGCAGTGGTGGCGAAATAACTCATGCAGCGTTTGTTGAGCACACGAGTAAGTTTACCTATTAATTAATGCTTTATCTACACTTACACTAGATCTTAGTTTTCAGAGCTCCCCTGATTACAGGAGATACAACAGTTAATGAAGGAGATACACTACATCTACATCTGATGTGTGACTCCACCTGTCAAGACCACTACCTTTTGTTCAGTGGTTCACCCTCCTCAGAATCAGTGACATCCTTTACATCAGTAACAGTCATAATTTGGGACTTGGCAGGATACTATACTTGTGTAACCGACCAGTATACAGTGACCATGAACAGCTCTGTGGAGATCATAGTCCACTGTAAGTAATCATGGCTTGTTACCCTCGGTGCGCGTCTCCAGTATACAGTGACCATGAACAGCTCTGTGATGATCAAGTCCACGTAAGTATCATGGATGTCCCTCGTGCGGTCTCAGTATAAGTGACCATGAACAGCTCTGTGGAATCTGTCCACTGTAAGTAATAATGGCTTGTTACCCTCGGCGCGTGGATGCAAAGGATATCCATCACTAGTCTTAAAGTAGTCATACCGTCAAGAAGTGGCTACAGACCCAAAAACCAGAACCAGGAAGATCATTCGGGCAATTAGTTTTCTGCCACATAGAGCTCTCTTCGGTCTCATGTGTTTCCTCAGAACAGAGATCAATAAGATTGATGCACGACTCCTGCAATAATGAAGACTCCCTGCTAGATGTCCCTTTCTGTCTGTGAGGTCAATAGTGTCTTGAAGAAGTTGAAACTTGGTAAGGCCGCCGGACACGACGGGGTGCAGGCGAACATCTAAAATATGGGGGGTCCAATTCCTTCGAGACTGGATTCTGCAAATTTGTAACGCAATCACGGAACTGGAACATGTACCTGACTCTCCCTCAAAATTGGAATCATAACACCGAAAGGAGTTGTCATAAAAGAGGAGGGTACGTATCCTCTCGTTTTGGAGTCACTCATACTAACACGGCGTGCAGTGTCATTTCTCAGAGAAAGGTAATACCACATCTCAATCAGACAGCCTACCGCAAAGTTGTCTCCTGTGCAGAAGCTATATTCTCAACGTTGGAGGTACTATCCATTTACTCACAACGCTGTGAAAAAGTGTACATGTGTTTCTACGACCTGCAAAAGGCGTTCGACTCCGTCCATTACTCCGTTCTCCTAAAACGCCTGTATGAGGCTGGCATTGACGGCAGGGCTTGGAGGTTGCTGCGAAGCTGGTATTCGTCTCCAAAGAGCATGGTGAGGGTCGATGGCTCTCTGTCTTCCATGTTCACTCTAGAGCGTGGAGTTCTCCAAGGCTCTGTCCTCTCCCCAGTTCTCTTCCTGCTGATATGGACCCCCTACTGAAATCTCTACAAAGTAAGGCATTGGGTCCTTCTATTGGTGATACGTACGCGGGTGCATTCATTCATGCTGATGACATACGTACCATCAGTAGCTCTCGAGCTACTTTACAAGAGCAAATTGATACTGTGCAAACTTTTACAGTACAGAATGGACTGACTCTGAATCCCACCAAATGCGAGGTTGTGCTTGTTTCTCCTTCCAAACCAGTGGAATCCGCACCTATAGCTGTCCTTGGAGTGAGGCTCTGACACCTCGTCTCAGCGCAAAGTGTCTGGGATACTGGTGGTCCTGGGACCTCTCTGCCACCAAAGCTGTCGATGAAGCCATCAAGAAAGCAAGACGAGCTTTCTTTGCCTTGGAGCTATAGGGGCATTTCATGGACAGTTGAATCCATTATCAGCGAGAAGCATCTATGAGGCCTGTGTGGTTCCCGTGCTGCTGTTTCGGCTGTGAGAACTGGATGCTGACAGATTCGATGCTGCATCAGCTGGAATCATTTCAGGGGGAAATTGGTCGTCGCATATTGAAACTGTCGAAGTATCACTCTACACTTTCTACTCGTTTGGCTCTCAGGTGGCCCTCAGTAACAGCAAGAATGTTTGTTCGTAAACTGAGTCTTCTATCAAAGGTGTCTGATGACGGAAATAGCATTGGGAGCCAAATATTTCAAGCTCACCACAAGATTCTCTCAGGCTCGTGCAGGAATGTAGAGCTATGGAGGGTAAGCTCTCCTGTCAGGGCTCTACCGATGCCATGCTCAGTGCCCAGTCAACTCTAAGAGAATTAAAGCGAGAAGTATTACAGGCAGACTGGGAGGCCTGCACCACCGAGGCCAGCCGTCACAACAGTACAGCGATTGCATCAGGAATAGCTGCTGATACATCTTGGATGAAGCTGTGGGACATGGCACTTGATTACGGACCTCGTGGTACTGACTCTCTACAGGCCCTTTATCGCGAATTGACCAGGCCACAGTTTCAGCCAGGCATCTGCCATCTCTGTGGTGCCACAATGGATGTTTCTTACTTTCATCACTATACTCTCTCTCACACGCCTCTCTCAGACCCAGACCAGATTATCAACTCTCGTTCGTCCGCTACTTCTGATATTTTCATGTATGCTAGACATTACAAGTAACTTTATTTTTTGTAAAACATGCCGTGCCTATTCTTGTTTGGCTTGCAGTGCATTAAACCCTTTGACATAGTTAGTTGGGTCTGTCTGCTTGTCTGTTACTCTATATCTCACTCCTCGAACGTCTGTTCGTCCCAGAAACGATACCATCTACCCAACGGGCGACGAAGGTCAGAAAATAAAGGCGGTTTTCTCTGACAGAGCAAGCGGAGGTATAATGCTAATATAAGCGCATGCGCATGATCCGCCAGCGATAAAATGGCGACTACCGGCATTAGCCATACAATGCTGGAAGCGCTCTAGCTCTGCAACGAGCATTTCAGAGAAAACCCCACATATTTTCTGACCTTCGTCGCCCGTTGGGCAGATGGTATCGTTTCTGGGACGAACAGACATTCGAGAGGTGAGATGTAAAGTAACAGACACATCACACACACACACGTCACACAGACAAACCCAACCATCGCTGCGCATGCGCGCCGAGGGTTAACTACTGTACCCTCGCTGCGCATGCGCGCCGAGGGTAAATGATACAGCGCATTCGTTTACTCACGCGTGCGCGTCACAATGCGCCGAGGGTTTGCTTTTCGAAAGTTATATTTTTCCTGCATTCTTCAGTCCCCTGTGATGTGCTATATAATGTCAACTGAATGATCATAGTCAACATGAGCTCCACTGCAGAGGACAGTACTGCTACCTATCAGTGTAGAGATGGTCCCACTGTTGTGTACACTACTCAGTGTACCAGTACTGTAGTGTGGAACCCTCACCCCTGGCCGCTCAACGGTGCTATTTATGGCGAAAACCATGTGATCATTATGCGCAACCCGACCCAATTTGACAGTTTCGTAATTATTCATTCTATCAATTGAGTATGAATTAGCACAGAGAGTATGATCTTCTAGTAGGCTTGCTACAAACAACACCGTTGATATGGAGACCGAGCCTTCCGAAACACAATTCGAGAATGGCCCAGACCACGCAAGCTATTCAGAGTTGCATGAGGAAGGTGAGGTTGAAATATCAACGGTCCCTCCCACCCTCCCAGGTAATGTGCTGCACACACGCACCCAGAAAAGAGTTTAATAACTATTATCGTCTTTGTGGGATAAATTCTGGCCCAGTGTATAGTAGCTAACGTATCAGGTTGTTTTTAACATTCACTTGTAGATT